TTCTTAGCATAAGCTCTCCTTCCTTATATTCTTTGAGACGAACTTTCTTGTCGAATGCCCTTATCATCCTTTGTTGGTAAATCTGGCTATGACACATGGCAGTCATCCTTTTTTCGTCGGTGAGATTCAATGAATTGAACCTCTCTTTTATCCACTCGGCTTCCTTGAGCTCTACTTCCATCAAGATTTTCAATGAAGGTATCTTGACCTCGACGGGTAACACTATGTCCATCCCATAGACCAAGGAGAAGGGGGTTTCCCCTGTCGAAGATTGTACTGATATTTTGTACCCATGTAAAGCAAATGGTAACATCTCATGCCAGTCCTTATAGGCTACAACCATCTTCTATATTATTTTCTTAATATTCTTGTTTGTAGCCTCGACAACACCATTCATTTTCGGTTTGTACGGAGAAGAATTGTGATGTTTGATTTTGAAATCATCACAAAGTTCTTTCATCATCTTGTTATTTAGATTCGATCCATTGTCGGTGATGATTTGGTCAAGAATGTTGTACCGATATATGATCTCCTTTTTAATGAAGCGTGCAACCACTTGCTTGGTTATGTTTGCATACGAAGTTGCTTCTGCACATTTGGTGAAGTAATCAATTGCCATGAGAACGAACCGATGGCCGTTGGAAGCTTTTGGCTCTATTGCCCCAATCATGTCTATGCCCCACATTACGAATGACCATGGTGATGTTATCACGTTGAGAGGGTGCGGAGGAACATGCACTTTGTCGGCATAAACTTGACATTTGTGGAACTTTCGAGCAAAGAGGATGTAGTTCGTCTCTAAGGTCAACCAAAAATACCCAACCCTTAAAATATTTTTCGCCATGGCATGGGTGCCAAACGTCCCTTCGTGCACTTTAGTCATTAATATATACGCTTCTTTTTCATCAACACATCTGAGCAGAACCATGTCATGGTTTCTTTTATATAGGATACCATTGTTGATGAAGAACTTGGATGATAATCTTCGTATGGCTCTTTTGTCAATTCTGGAGGTGTCAATCGGGTATTTCTGATATCGGAGAAAGTTCTTGATGTCATGAAACCAGGGTTTCTTATCAAACTCTTCTTCTACCATCATGACATATGCTGGTGTAGTTCTTCTTTCAATGCGAATTAGAGGTGCCTCGTTAACAAACTGGACCTTCCACATCGATGCTAGCATGGCTAAAGCATCGACAATATGATTTTCTGCTCTCAGCACATGCTTGAAAGTAATTTCATCGAAATATTCAATCATCTCTAGAATGTGATCTTTGTAAGGGATCGATTTTTCATCTCGGGTCTCCCATTCTTCTTTGAGTTGATAGATCACTAAAGCATAATCACCAATTACTTCTAAGAATTTGATACGGAGATCAATAGCAGCCTCTAGTCCTAAGATGCAAGCTTCATACTCGGCTATGTTGTTGGTACAAGAGAAGCAAAGTCGGGTGATGACAGCAGTATACCCTCCCGTTGGATTCTTCAAGACAGCTCCAATACCATGTCCGTTTTTGTTAGATGCTCCATCAAACATCATTTCCTAGCGGGACCCAGGCTCGAGGCCTTCTTCAGGACCAAGTTCTGGCTTCATACATTGAATATACATTACATCTTCATCGGGAAACTCAAACTTGAGTGGTTGATAATCATCCACCAGATGCTCAGCAATGTGTTCTGACAAGACACTGCCTTTGACAGATTTTTGAGTGACGTATTGAGTATTATACTCTGACAAGAGCATGTGCCACTTGGCCAATCTCCCAGTTTGGGCTGGCTTTTCGAAGATGTACTTTATTGGGTTCATCTTGGAAATCAGCATAGTGGTATGGCAAATCATATATTATCTTAGACGCTTGGCCACCCAGGCTAGGGCACAACAGGCTTTCTCTAAAAGGGAGTAATGACTCTCACAATCTGTGAACTTCTTGCTCAAATAGTAGATCGCATATTCTTTCTTTCCTGACTCGTCTGTTTGGCCTAGGACACAATCCATTGCGTCTTCCAGTACTGTCATGTACATGAATAACGACTTTTCTGGAACTAAAGGGATCAGTACCGGAGGCTCTTGTAGATACTTATTGATTTTCTCAAATGCGGCCTGGTAGTTTTCATTCCATATCACCGTTTGATCTTTTCGTAACAACTTGAAGATTGGTGTGCAGGTAGGCGTCATATAAGAAATGAACATGGAGATGTAGTTTAGCCGCCCAAGGAAACCTCTCACCTATTTTTTTTTTGTTTGAGGAACGAGCATTTCTTGAATTGCTCTGACTTTATCAGGATCCACTTTAATTCCTTGTTGACTAACAATGAAACCGAGTAGCTTGCCAGAACGAACTCCAAATGTGCATTTAGCTGGATTTAGTCTTAAATGATACTTTTGGAGTCTCTCAAATAGCTTCAACAGATGATCCAAGTGGTCTTCTTCACTTCAAGATTTTGCAACCATATCATCTACATACACTTCAATTTCCTGATGCATCATATCATGGAAGAGCGTAACCATAGCTCGCTGATATGTTGCTCCGGCGTTCTTCAAACCGAAAGACATGAACTTATAATAATAAGTGCCCCAGGGTGTAATGAAGGTCGTTTTCTCCATGTCGGCTGGATCCATCTTTATTTGATTGTAGTCGGAGAACCCGTCCATGAATGAAAATACTGCGAAACTAGTTATATTGTCTACCAACGTGTCAATATGTGGAAGAGAGAAGTCGTCCTTCGGGCTAGCTTTGTTTAGATCCCTATAGCTACGCACATTCTGACTTTGCCATCTTTTTTGGGACTGGAACGATGTTGGGCACCCATTTTGGATACTTTGATACTACTAAAAAACCTGCATCAAATTGCTTTTTGACCTCGTCTCGGATTTTGAGAGCCATGTCAGGCCTAGATCTTCGAAGCTTCTGCTTGACCGGAGGGCACTCAGGTTTCAAGGGGAGCTTGTGCATAACAATGTCGGTGTCCAACCCTGGCATATCTTGATAAGACCAAGCAAATATGCCGACGTAATCTTTAAGGAGTGCTATCAATCTACTCTTGACTTCTGACCCCAACGATGCTCCAACTTTGAATTCTCTCTTCTCTTCTTCAGAGCCCAAGTTGACGATGTCAACCTGTTCCTTGTACGGCTGAAGATAGGAATCTTCGTAATCAGTCATCTTCCTCAATTCTTCACGGACCTCTGAATCTTCATCGCTCTCTTCTTCGGCTTGAAAGACAAATGGACAACTATTAAAATGAACCGAATGATCAATGGATTATGTGGGTGATGGAGGTATTCTGCATGGTTTTATAGGTTTGAGAATGATCAAACACACACACATATACATGCGGATGATGAGTTGTTTTTAAGTTTTCGAAAAAAGTTGCCATTTTTCCTTTTAACAAAAAGAGTGAAAGTGATAAGCAGAAAACAAAACAAGAGTTTTAACAAAAACACTTTTTCATTCATAGATCTTTTCAAATTGCAAGGTGGCCCATACAAAATGATTCACTGACCTTGGGCAAGACCATAAACTTTTAAGTAAAACAAAGCTAACAAGCAAATGAATTACTCTAAGGGTAAAAAGATAGGGATTTCCACAGTCTTCCAGTTGCACAAAGTTGTTCCGCTTTGGATTACCAGGTTGTCCAGGTCACTTTCCTCTTCTTTAGCTATGACAGCGTTCACCTGCA